CGTCAACCTCACCATCATCATCGTCATCATCAAAATAATCATGTTCAGTGTACTTCGTAGTCCTCCCAATTAGTTGCCCCCCCTTTCGCTTAACTCAATTTTTGAAAAATTGCGCTAAAACCTGCATTTTGGACCCTCGACCTACATAAAACTACCAGGCGCCAGGAGGCGCGCAACCCAAGATGAAATACATGTTGATGTTGCAGATGATGTTGATGGGGCCCATGAGCAAACCTGATGAACCAAAGATGAGGATGAGCCTATGGGCCTGGGGAGCCTACTCTTCTGGGGACATGTCTGGGGGTGAAGATGAAATACATGTTGATGTTGCAGATGATGTCGATGGGGCCCATGAGCAAACCTGATGAACCAAAGATGAGGATGAGCCTATGGGCCTGGGGAGCCTACTCTTCTGGGGACATGTCTGGGGGTGAAGATGAAATACACATGTTGATGTTGCAGATGATTTTAGGGCCCATGAGTAAACCTGATGAACCAGTGATGAGGATGAGCCTATGGGCCTGGAGAGCCTGCATTAGCCAGGGGCCCTGAACCCCCAGCCCTGTGAGTCCCAACCTCACGCTCACCGGAGTTGCTCATGTCGAAGAGTTCGGCTCGGGAGCTGGAAGCTCAGCTCCACTGCTTAGGGGAATCAAGGCTGGCCTTGCACCGTCGCATCTGTACATCATGCCGCAGGTGCATGTGACGTTGCACATGCTAGTCAGCATCATCCCCAGACTCCCTGGCCCTGACGTGGTTACATGAAAGACAATGTTGATTCATGGAACCTGGGAGCCCGGGAACCAGGGAGCTTGGGAGCCTGGGAACCTAGCAGCCAAGCCAGTTCTTCAACTGGGGAAGCAAAGTCGGCGTTTCATCGCCGAGCCAGCTGCCTCAGTGTGGCAGGATGCTCGACGTAACCTTGAATCTTGGTTGCAACAAGTGCAGCTGAAGCACTGCTCTTCTCCAGGAACAGAAAATTCCTTGGAGCATTAGTCGTCGTTTGATAAGTTTTGCAAAACTACAACTGGATTGGATTGATGATGCCCCTGATGCTGCCAAGGGTCTTCAGGACGCGCCAGGCTGGACACGAGTTCGTGACAATTAGGGAGCACTTGAGATCGCTCAGGAGTTTTCTCAAGGGCTTGCTGCCCGGCAGTGCGCTTGGAAGCTCCTCCAAATTGGCCCTGACCTGGATGAGAACATTCGCTGGACTCCGACGGCACCAACTCCCGAAGGCCTTGGCGAAGGTAGAGTTCCATTCCAAAGCCTTGCCATCATCATTCCCGTCATCTGCACCGAGTTTTCCGAGATACTGCAGCAGCCCTCGCAGATGTAGATCCAGAAGTTTCTTTGTCGGGTAGTGCATGCAATCGATCCTAGGCAACAGGGTTGGCTTACAGGCCTTATAACTTGATAAGCATACAACCAGGATTTGCTACGGCGCAGGGGGGTACAGCGAAGGGAAGTGTAATCCATAACGGGTTTAGTGTTTAGGGCGGCGTTTCGAGCTTAAGGTATAGTCGATTCGGATTTTGTACAGGGGTCTTTTAATTTTTTTTAAGGGATCTGGGCCTGGGGGTGAAGATGAATACATGTTGATGTTGCAGATGATGTTGGGGCCCATGAGTAAACCTGATGAACCAATGATGAGGATGAGCCTATGGGCCTGGAGAGCCTGCTGGGCTGGCGTGACCATCATCGAGGCCATCGTGGCCTGTGTTGGGGCCTCCGCCGCTGCGGAGCTCGAGGAAGCCGCCCCAACTTCATCGACGGTGCCGTCAGTCCTGAGCTTCAAGACGGCCATGATGCGAGGCTGAGGTCGGGGAGAGCCGTGGAGTCGTGGAGCCGAGGGGCCGAGGTGCCACTCAGAGCCAATTGCCGCAGCAGTCGTTGTGCTGAGCTCCATGCTATAAAGAAATGAAAAGGCAGTCACTGTAATTCTGTCAGACAATCATGGAAAGTCCTGCAATGCAACTTCAACGTCACACCCCGCCCGCCTCTGCTCGTCAGCTGCACCAGGACCAGGACCAGGACCAGGCAAGCCGTGGGGCCATAGGAGCCTGGGAGCCTGGAGCCTATGGCGGCACAGGTTGGAGGTGACATCAGCCTGAGCCTGGGAGCCTTCCTCAAACCTTGGAACCTTGGAGCCTCAACAGCCAAGCCTTCCAAACCTTGGGAGCTTGGAGCCTCAACAACCACCAAAAAATTAAAAATCCTCCAAACCCGCACCAAGAATACTACAGTATTACGCTTAAAGATATGTTAAGTGCATACATATACACACACACATATATATATATATGCTCACCCCCCCCCATGACAGACCGTCGTGGGGAAGGGGGAGGATGGAGCAGTAGTACATTCAGATATGTGCATAAATAAAAGTACACCTGACAGAGAAAGGTCCGCACAGACCATTGAACAAACGCAGGCCATCTATTGTCTCAAACTAGCAGCATCTCAAAGTAGCAGTTCTATTGTCATCGTCATCATCATCAGCATGGCGTATGCTGGCAATGGCAACATGTCGTTGGATGACGCCACTCGTATAGCACAGCAATATAGGTAATTGTAACTCTATATCGAATCTGCATGTGTGTGAGCGTTTTTGTTGGACCATGTTCATGTGGTTGTTGTTTTTGTCGTTTGTACCATAGAGCTTCAACATGAGGTGAAGACTGAAGTCAAAAATATGAATCTCTACCCGTGCGACCCCCACGCGATTTCGAACCTCCCGCTTGGCCCCCTGACGGTAATGGATCTCCCGATTGTCGACATGCCCAGTACAGGTATGGCTAAGTGTTTCGTCGACGTTGTGATGGATATCCCCACGTGTCCTATCCCAAAAATCACAAAGGCGCTGCAGGACAAATCCACAGCAGCACTCCCAGCCCCGTTTGGTCATGCAAGATCGAGTGAAGCACCTATCAGGTTCGACCTCGCTATCCTGAAACAGGACAATGAAAAGTTTTGCGCAGTCAAAATCATCAATCTCAAAGACAAGGTGAAAGTCGATGTCGCTCGTGCTATGTGTTATGGAAAACCTTATGTGGTGAATTGGGCAGGCGAGGTAAAGACCATGAAGAAATGTGTTCACTTTATCTTCGAGAAACTTGGAGGGCATCAATTTCGACAGCACACGCTTCGCACTGCCGAGGAGGGTAAGCCGGATGTGGAGCGCACCCAAGCGGAGTGGGATTACGGTTTTGATTTCATTGAGGAGCAAGGCCCTCGGGATCATGTCAAGAATCGCGCCTTGAGGTGGATAACTATTCAGACCTCCCAGAAGGATTCCCCCATCTACAAATGGTCACCTGTTCTAGTGGAGAAAAGCCTTCGCAATCTTTGTCAAGACGGTGTCCTCGCAAAGGTCATTGAGGTTTGGCCCCTGACCCTTTACGACCTTGACGCACGCATCCTCAAAGCCCTTGGCACATTGTTCAACACGCTACAGGAGAAGGCACTCGGTTTCCATGGAGTCCCCGGCAAAGGCAAAACCCCAGTGGCACGATCGATAGCGATGGCGCTTTCTCGGTATTGGATCGCGGAGTTGGGGCAGACCGGCGAGGTAACCCCATCGTTTCGCCAAGCATCCGAGTTCGATTTTTTCCGTGGTTCCTGGTATGCATATACATATGAGGGTCCATCAAGGTTCGTTTTACTGGATTTTTGCTACTTTGGACCCTACTGTAGACCCTGCTGAAAGTCCTCCAAAGCAAACCCCCCCTTTCAGCTCGAGAATGGGGGTTTGGTTTTGGGGGGTTGGGAGCTCTCGGCTCCAGAATGGGGGGATACAGGAGTAAATACTATATACGTTACAAAACAGGTGTAACAAGTTACCATTTCTGTTTGGACATACAAATTGTCAGTGACTGGGTTCACGCATACAGAAAACTTATTATACTATGTTGCATGCTTGATTCGTTGAGGCCAAACCGGTATGCTCACCAGACCCGACATTTTTGACGACGGCACTCTTTCAGAACAGCCATTCAAGAAAGTGAAAGCCTTTACAGACGTGGGAAATATCGAGTCCATGTCCAAGGAGAGGTGGGGAGCAGCTAAGTGGGTCAAGGGTCAGGCAAGAATCTATTGTGTGAACGACTTCGACGTCAAATCCGAGCCACCCCTCGACCAACCCCTCATCGACATCCAGGAAGGTCGTCATACTTACATCGCACATAAGGTTTTCCTCGAGATGTTGGAGTCCGCATGGTACAGCAAAGAGGCATCCGAGTCGAACGTGATGGCTGTCTTGAAAAGAACGCATATCTTCGTGAACACCGCCACTTCGCTCTACATCCGCCCGGCATCCGAAAATGAACATCCAGTACTCCGCATTCCATTGGGTGACAAATCCGATTTTCTCCATGTCGACTCTCGCATGGTTTATGATTACCACAGGAAGGGAGGAAAGGACTTGCCCGCGGATTTCGACAAAAAAGTTGCATGGGAAGCTGATTGGGTTCGCAAGGCCATGGCGGGTGAGAAAAGTTTGCCATACAGACCCACAGTTGTGCGCAGAGGCAGTTTGTTGTCAAACGTGGCATCTTCGTCGGCTACACCTACATTTAACAGCGATGAAGCCACCTCCAGGCTCAATGCTGAGTTATGTCGCAGTCTCACGGGTGAACTTCCGCATCATGCTCGTGATGTCGCCCCTTCCACGACTTCCACGGGCTGTTCGGTGAAGCTGGAACACCCCTCCACCCCAATTCGAGTGAAGAAGGAGTCCACCCAGCAAGGCTTCGCGACACAAGCCCGTCGAGTAGCCGATGAGTGTGCAGGTCACCCCATCGAAATCCAGGATTCACCTTCCCCCAAGCCCAAGCCGAAGTGTGGGATCAAGCAAGAACTCCCAGTAAACTCTTTTGCTACGTTGGCGGCAACCCCAAACGGCTTCACCATCGACATCGAGGACACCCCCGAGAAGGATGTGAAAGGTGAGGTAGGTAAGCCGAAGACAAACGACGATGAGCTCGTCAGGGACTTGGAGATGCTCATTGATGAAGAAATGAATGGGGTCGGTACGGACCAGGGAATCATGGAGGGCAACGCGCGGAGAACCACATGGGCAACACAGACGAAAGCATGGCACACACCGATAACGGGGACGGCAATTCAGTGGGGTCGGAAATGGATGTGGATGAGTCATGAGTGATGCAGAATGCAGTCTTGTGTCCCCCAGTCTTTGTGTAGTCAGCGGGCCAATGTATGTGGTAGATTGCGATACGTGCCACAATTCGTCCTCATGTTCCCACTGCAAATATTCCTAGCTATTATAAATGGCCATGGTGTATGTGTGTGTGTTGTTTAAACTCACAAATTGACTGTCTTTGACATCTCACGCGACGGTGTGGCAACTTCGATTTTTGGAAAGTCTCACAGACAGTACGCCCGCGGACCTCACACGGTTTTGGAAACATGTATAAGAAATCACTTCTGCTAGGACGTGTTCTTGCAAAGCAGGCATGACGCGACCGCAAATGTTGCACCAGATGCGCTGATGTTGATCGCAGTTTTGGGTGTTCGAATAACATTCATCGTTTCAAAGCCATGCCGAAGAAGACATATCCCAAAAGCCTCAAGGCCAAGTCCAAAGGACCGTGGCCAGTTCCCAAAAGGGGAAAAAGAAGGGCCAATGTCAAGAAACCGGCAACGAAGACCATGAAGAGCTCGACTACGGTGTCTTATGTCCGTCATGGGGAAATCACTACGAAATCCAGGGCTCATCGCGCAAGGTGGGGTCATTCAATCCAAAACTTCACGGCCATGCCTTACAAGAAGCTCTTGCACATACTCCAACGAGATGGCATCCTTCCCAAATGGACAGGCCAAGTATGTCCTCGGTGTGGTGTAGGAAAGCTGGGCAAGATGAAGTTCGTGAAAACACGCAAAACGTGGATGCACCAGTGCTCATCTCGCGGATGCAAAAAGTATCTTCAGCCGGATGACTATCATCCGATTTTCTTCCGTGGTGCAGGCTCGTCGGTGACACCCCTCTATGTCCAAGTTTGCATCTTGTATGCTGCACTCGCAGGGGTTTCAGTCAACTCCGCCCACCTGATTTTGAACACAGACCACAAAGCAGTAGAGCGAGTGTACACTAACCTGGATGCCGCAAGAGCCCGCTATGTGGAGCACAAGGAGAAGTCCATTTCTTACGGGAGTACATCGGGTGAGCTTTGGAGGGATGTTGAGGCTGACGAGGTTGATGTGGGAAAAGCCCTAGAGGAGGACAGTGACCAGAAGCCCAAGCTCCGTTGGGAGCAATGGTGTGGGGTTGTGGAGCGGGGACGACCGTCGTCATTGCGGTTGTTTAGGTTGGCGCCGCCTTTGACAGCACCTCGCGCACCCGGACCCGGACCCATTCGAAAACGAGATTGGGGTGACATTGGCACTAAGCATCTTCGTGATCGGCATGTGGTCTTGCACACTGACGGTGCTCGCGCGTACAAACTTCGCCTCCCCGGTGTCATGCACTGCAATGTCGTCCATAAGAAGAAACGAATCATTATCAACAAGAAGGTGGGTGCCTGACTAAAGGTTTGTATTGTGTTACTTGTTGGTATGCCCTGCAGGCGGTTTGGGTGAAGCCCCACTTCACCAAGGTGTACAAGTTGAAGATGCCGAACAAGACCACATTGAAAGTGAAGTCAGGGACGCAAATCATCGACAGGTTTTGGGGTCACTTGCGAGCATATGTAAAATACACCCAACGCACGCCTGGCAATGTGATTCTTCGAAGGAAGATTAGAGCAGCTCAGTTCACGTATTGGACGAAAGGCCAGAATGCCTGGAAGGCTGCGGGCAATATGCTGCAATATTTGTTTGAGATGTAGAGATTCAATCTGCGGGTGTAAGGCCAGAAAGCTTCGAGGCAGTGTTGTGCAGTGAGAAAAGCATCACCGAATCATACAGGGTTGATCGCTTCGTGTGGATTGTAGTTTGTAGCACTGGCTATCTGGGTTGTTGGCGCGGTAGGTTGCCCCAAACCCGACTGATGCTCATGATGCTCGTTTCTGGTGGGGCTGGTTGCTTACGCTCTTCGATTTGTGGGCCTTTTGGTGGGTTGCAAAAGCAAAACCCCCCATTCTGGAGCCGAGAGCTCCCAACCCCCCAAAACCAAACCCCCATTCTCGAGCTGAAAGGGGGGGTTTGCTTTGGAGGATTTTCCAAAGAGAGGCTGTGTCTGACACAAGAATGCAGCCTGGGACCAAAAACCAAAACACCAAAGTCCCACGGAGAATGCTGGAACAGTTTTGGTTTTTTGCTTTTTTGGTTTGTTGGTTCTTTGTTTTTTTGGTTTTTTGGTT